CGAGTAAATATGAGTAACTCAAATTTATTCACTGCAAATATATTAACTCTGAGTAAAGTTGTTTTACCCATTGGATCTCCCTTTTAAATTGTTCGTATTAAAGGGTGTCCCACATCAAATTTCATCACGGAAAAAACACTGTAGAAAATTACCCATTGAGTATTTTCTCTTGAAAATTTGGGTAGATGTAGTTTAGAGTGTATTGTTTACACTGTATTTTTATCGCTGTCAGTTTTTCGAAAGTTGAAAAAAATGGCGTCCCCCGAAAAGCAACATCGCGAATTGATTTTGCGCAAGCACCTGGAAAATCCTCAACTCTCTCATCGGGACATTGGAAAACAACTCGGAATCGTGCAGTCAACGGTCGACCGGAAGGAGAAATGCGGTCAAAATGAATGTTCTATTAGTGATCAGGATCACAAGCGTGTCGTGAAAGCGTTTAAGCGGAATCCCAATGCTTCGGTCAGGGATGTGGCCAAAAACTTGAATCTGTCCAAGTCTTTCGTTCAGAGAGCCAAGGACCGGGAGGGACTGCATACGTACAAAGTGCAGAAGGCTTCAAATCGTAACGAACGGCAAAATACGGTGGGAAAGTAACGGGCCCGGAAACTGTACACACCCAGATGCTGACGAAGCCTCATTGTCTCATCATGGATTATGACACTTCCGGTGCTACTGTTCTTCCCCGCCCAGCACAAGTTTGATGTTCCGGAGGAAGTAAGGAAGCAGAAACTTTCAAAGTTTGCCAAGAAATACATGATTTGGCAAGCGATCTGCTCATGTGGCAAACGTTCGTGACTACCGGGACTGTAAACGGGGAGATCAGGCGATGATGCAGGGGAAAAGATGATTTGCACTCAGCTGAGGAGGATTTCGGCGATTACGCACGCCGAAAGGGGGGCATTCGGTGGGCCACCGAATCCGGTTGGATTCCCGGAAGCGTCGTAAAATTACTAGACCGGCACGGGAATCGAACCCAGCCACCTCCAGCATGGTCTTGCTTTGTAGCTGCACCTTTACCGACTGTGCTAATAGAGGCTGAATATGATTTCATCGTACTGACGGAAACGTGACTGGATGACCGGATCTATTCATCGCAACTTTTCGGATCACTTTATTCCGTCTTCAGAACTGACCGATCTCTCCTGAACGGTCAAAAATCGCGCGGTGGAGGCGTTCTGATTGCTGTTTTGCTGCTGCTCAACGAGACTAACCAGCTACCTAAGAAGCGTCCATGTCCAGTCTACTGGAACAGCTCTGGATTGTCTTGGAATTTCGCTTGAGTCCCCGCTCTCCCACTCTCCTATTCGGTGACTAGAACTAAGCTGGTTTGCTATATTCAAAGTCTGGCGGATAGAATCTCGGGAATCAATTAAGCTGTCAAATAGCGGAACCAATCGAGCATATCACGACCAACAACAAAAAAGAGCACATCAGTTATTGCGAACAAAACTTCGGAACCCCTTCTCTCGTGACTCAAGACTCGCCTACGCAAATTAATACCATCTTTGGGTTGGGAAAAGTGTCCCCTATCCGATGACGATGGTAATTTGCGTTCGATTGGCGAGGAAAGAATAATCAACCGTTTTGTTTATGAAAGTTGATAGTACCTTTTCAATTGTTGGTCTACAATATATTGAATTGGTTCCGCTAACTGGAGGGCGTATGTTGTTTCATTTTCTTCTGTTCTGGGAGAGGGAAAGGGAGGGGTCAAAATCCGAACCTCCCAGGCCAGTGACAAGGCCTATAAGGTGATCCAACAGACGTTTCTCAGTGGAACTGACAACTAGAAATTAAGAGTATGTGAGTGATCTGGTGTTAATGGTGCTGAATGTAAACATAAACAAAGCAGAAATTCATATGAGAGTGAACTGTCAGTTCTACTGTGATCTGCCAAAAGTTCTTGGTAAACAAAAAAGTCAGCTGATCGCAACTGTCTCGTGGACAGCCTTATATCAGCAGCAGCGTTTGAAGTAGGCAGCATGTCCCGGGCTCAAATCATTTGTTTTGCTGTGCTGGGCCCGCTGTCACGGTATAACATGTTGCCTACGTGCCTGCCACTGGGCTGGAACCTCCAGATAGCACAGTGAAGGATACATTTATTCATACAAACAGGCCACCATTGCGGCACACCGTTCATTGACCCACTGCTATCGCATATGCCGGTTCCCGGTTGCTTGCTGTGCTCGTTTAGACGGACTTAACATTCACGGGATTACTCAAGTAAACACTTTTCCGAACCGAAACGGACGTTTGGTAGATCTTGTCCTGGCAAGTGTTTCCGCATTACCGGGCACTTCTACTTCTTTGCTCTCGTCGTGTCATACAGGTAACCTACTCCGATTGTTTATATGGCGCCATCTGAGTGTCACTCTCTGGACTTTTGCCGGGTCGATTACGCTGCATTGAACAATGTGCTTACGGACATTGATTGGCAATCTATCGAATCGACCGCTAGTGTCAATGATGTTGTGGATTTGTTTCAGTCCTGTACTGGAAGATGCTATTTTCCGCATTGCCCCAGTACGACGAGCCGCGCAAAAGCTTTCGTGGTCGAACCCACACTAAGGGGGGGGGGGGGAGGTGACTGTCAAATACGAACAATCGTCGTCTACCTCGCATGACTGGTTCCAAACGACAACAAGCAACGATAGTTTGTTGATGTTTGGAATCAAATTCATATTTATGGAAAATCAATTAGCGTAAACAGGTTAGGACCAGTGAATTTGTCGTCTCTTTCGCTATTCGGTTGTTTATGTAGAGTTCTCTACCACCGTTAGTATTAGTGAGCAGTTTCACTAATACAAGCGTTTTACAGGTTGAAAAAAAAAAACAAACCGTCGTCAAGTCGAACACTTTGACAACTGATGTTGTGGTTGAAAATAATAAACAAATCGATTTTACACGGCTACACTAGCAACGTTGTATTGGTGAAATCTTGCAGCAAGAAGTTAATAGAAGACGGAGTTGGACGTCACACTCGTATAACCATTTAAAAATCGGGAGAATGAATGATACGGTAAATTCACTGCGCCTTACCTATTTACATATCGTAGATGGATGATAAGTAGGCATATTTCACAGCACATTAACACGCCCGTGGCGATCCAAAGAGAAAACCGATGAAGAGAATCGATCAATGTAGATAGGATCTATTGAAACGTGACGCGAGAATTCTATTTTGTTTACAAACAAGACTGACCACTAATTGGGTTCTTTAAAGGTATTGAGCTAAATGCATATTCGTAATCTGCATTAAAAATGGAACCCAAATCCAAAATTTCATCAATTTCGGTACACTGGAACTATTTTAAATAAGTACGATTACATTTGCAAAAATCACCTTATTAGCGCCCCTCGGTGTCACTTTGTATGGGAGTGAGCTGTCAGTTTGTCAGTTTTGTGTCAAACAGTGAAGTTATAATTTTGCTTTAAAAATCGAGATGAAAGTGTGTGGGTTCGAAAAAAATATCGCTCTGCTCAGAAAACGAAGCTCTTTCAGATGAAGTATAAAAAAGATATATTTTTCAAAATTAAAGAACCCAATTGGCGTTGACGGCACCGTCGAAAAATTGTCTCTTCTAGAAAAAAATTAACAGTTTCTTATGGGATTTTTCGGTGCAGTGAAAGCATAGTACGAAGTCCGCCATGTTTCACGCACAGTCTGACGTTTGCTTATGGATTTTACCATAGGAGTAAAGAGCTACAGAGTCGCCGTCAACGCCAATATGTGAAGGCGGTAAACGGAGTAAGCCGAGGAGTAAACAGACAGAACAATCGATGAACGTCGATTAAATTTTGAGGTGCATTGAGTTACTTGCAGCAAAAAAAAGCAACTCAGAGTAAAGCTGTATCAGCCCTTGTGATCTGGCAAGGAATTTGCGGCTGCGGACTCATAACCAAGCTTTTCATCACCAACAAAACGATGAACTCGAAGTTGTATAAGCAAGAGTGCCACTACAGCCGGCATTGGATTGCTGTAAATAGAATGGGAGAACTGCTGGACAACTGTCACTGAATTTGTTCACAACATTACGTGCTGTTTGACTGTATATTCAGGACCATCCTCTAATTGAATATACCAGAGGAACTCACACCAGCAGTTCACTTATAGATTTATATTCGAAATGTAGGTTCTAGAGTGGGCTCAAGAGAAAGAGGCAATTAATCAGTACCTTTAATTCAAATAATACTGCAACTCACACAAAACAAACAACAGAAGTCTATTCATCATCCTCTTCCTTCCCACCGGTTCCAACTCTTTCCGACCGCTGATAGACCTTTGCTTTCGCTTGACGAAAGGCTAGGTTTCTGGTCTGCCTTTGAGGCGAGGGGGACGACTCTATCTACGATGCAAAAAAGATTGTGTTGTGCTATGGCTAGCTGCGCGCACGCTGAGTAGATAGAAAGATTCTGAAGATTTCCTGCAAAAATAAGATGAGCGATGCAAGTAGATGTGACAAATGAAAGAAGATTTTTCGAAGATTGATTCGCTAGTGTGAGATTTGTTGAGCATCTAAACTTGAGATTTAGATGTGTCGCCCCCCTCGCTTTGAGGGCATTATAAAACCCTAAAACACAGGACTTTTATGATCCTATGAACACATATTTTCCAAACAATCGCAGTTTGCTCTATGACCGGCACAACCAACACACCTGCACTGAGGCAAATAGACCTAAGAATTTCATAAGGCTCGACTTATGAACAACATACATGAATTTCATAAGCGTGACTTATGAATGATTTTCGGGTAACATGAGGTAGCTCTTATACGCCTTTAACCATTTTATTTTCCTAAGCGTTGAAAGACGAGTGGTAAACACACGGGCCCCCTAACCTCAACGTCCATTTTCCGGTTCCAGTCTGCTCCGATTTATTATCTTTTTGTCAGCATTATTTTTCATAAGGCAAATCAATGAAATTCATACTCATTTCTTATGGCTTAAATTCATAAGTGTTACTTATGGAATTCTTACGTTCTTTTGCCTGCGTGTGCGGCACACTTGCGGCACACTGACAAAAAAGATGACCCAAGATTGGTGTGCGGAGTGGCCTACCCCTTGCCTAAATTACATTTTTCTTGCATCAAATCAATCCCGAGAAACACCTGGTTTTATGTGTCCGGATTCTAAGTGGACCCGACTTTAAAAAGAACAGAGGGATCATAGCAATCTTACTGGCAGTGATGTCGGAATCAATGGTGACGTCAATGGTGTTGTTATTTCCTTATATTTACGAATGTAAAGTCGAAAAATGGAGTACAACAGAGAAACGAATTCCACTCCCAATCAAGATAAGAAAAACCAACAAACAGCAATCTTTTGACCTAAATATCGCAAAGAAAATGAACTTCTTTGTAAGCGACAGCTAGTAGGACGGATCTCTCTGATGTGGTAGGAATGACTACCAAATTAGAAAGAAATATCTGTCTTCAGCCATCAATCAATAATTGATTTGATAATTATTATCCGCTCCCTCGTTCATATCGAGGTTCATATACAGTTACAGATATTCTAGCTTGTTAGAGGCTGAAATTGTCTGTTTTTTTCTGTTGAGGTTGATGTTGAATCTTCTTTCCCAATTAAGGGATGGACTGGTTCTTCCGTGTCCCGATCAGTTTTCTGTGGAATCCTACCGATTGCTGAAGGGAGACCTCTTCTTCAGAAAAAAAAATCATCAAAAACAAAAAAGGGCATCAAACGAATGTAAACCTGGGGGGGGGGGACGTGCTGTCAAATCAGCCTACTGATCATCTTGTATGAAACTGGTTCCAAACGTTAACAAACGCTGTAGGTTTCTTATGGCTTGTTTACGTTTGGAACCAGTTATGCGAGGTAGGCGACGATTGTTCGTATTTGACAGCCACCTCCCCCCCTTGATGTAAACATTCTTGGCTATAGGCAGTGCTGCCAGAAAAAAAAAAATTGAAAAATTGGTTCTCATGGTGGTTGAGTGAGTCGAAGAGTGTTTTTGATGTGTTTAACACAAGGTGGCAGAGTGACTTACCCCCTGAGATGGATACTGTTGTTTATTATGTTTTTTTTTTCAATTGTTGTGTTGAGCAGAAATGATGTGCTAGATGTTAAACTGCGGTAGAAACTCCGCATCAAATCCAAATTAAAATATAAACTTCATCAAACACTAGCCACAAATTTTCGAAGGGCATTCAAGGGCAAAAGTATTAAGAAGATTGAGAAGCTCGATTGTCAAGTCCCGTTCCTGGTCAAAGCCCTTAAAAGTTTTCACCAAATGTATCTAGGTGAAAAATTGCCAATCTCGAAAGGAATTTTCTGCCCCTTCAGTGGACCATTATTGTCCAATTGAAATAATTTCACAATCCGAATCATTAATGATGCCTCGTGCGCACGCAGTCCCGCGCAATTATCGCTTATGGTTAATGCACCCATCCGACGCGTCGTTATCAGCTTTAATACGAAACAAAATGATCGTCTATAAATACAAATCCAAGTCTCATTAGAAGTTACTAGCATGGAGCTTCGTAAAAGTGCACAATCGAAGTTAACGTTCCGCTCATCGTTTCGCTCGCTCGTTCGCGCGCTATCAGCATTCGCAATGACCTTAATGCCTAATTACCCGGTAATTTGCTTTTAAATGGTGCTTAATCATTTGAAAACTTAAGCGTTGAAACCAAAACAATACCAATGTATTGGAACTGCTACGTATTTATAGCAAAACACCGTCTGCGTATACATTCGTTTCGTATAAATGAAGAAATACAATGCTTATCTCCTTCCTCTGGTTGTCCTACGATTTAAACTTAATAATAACAAAAAAAAAAAAAAAGAATCAGAACAATAATTCTCTCGAACTAGACTTCGTTATGGCATGTTGGTTGCACAGTAGTTTCAAAAGTATACATCGGTTCCCGTTTCCCACAAGTGAGGTTATGTTTGCGTTCGCTAGTTAGCGTCCCCCGACGCCAACTAGATTGCCAGATGATTCGTTGGATTCCTCTTCCGAACTTACCGGGGGATGGAGGAAGAATTCGGCGCCCGAGGAGAATAGCTTACCGGAGCTGGAGCTGGCTGCAGCTCGGTTTACATTGGAGCTGATGTTTTCGATGTTGGCTAGCGGATGATGGTGAGCGGCCGGTGGCGGTATTTCGGTGAGGTTATCGGACCACTGGCGTTTACTCGATGGCGGTTGTTGTTGATCTACGTTTGACTGCACAGTAGCCGGTGGTGGACTTTGCGCTGTGGGAGATAGGATTTGTTTTCGTTAGAGGAATGCAGGTGCAATGAACTTGGCGCGAGATGACCTACCGGAGTTGTCCGAGCTGTGTTCGAGCATCGGTTGGAGGATACGGCGTCGAGCGTTGATGAACCAGTTATTGACCTGTGAAGATGTTAAGGCTCTTTAGTTGGTTGGGAAAGGTAAATAGCGGAGATCAAGACCTACTTGTAAGAGCGTGAGATTGGTTTGGGCGGCTATTGCACGTTTCTCATCCTCAGTAGGATAGGGATGCTGCGTGATGTTCAGAGCGCATGAAAGAAAACGGAAAGAGAAAAGAAATCAAAATTAGTTGAAAACAGGGGAAATGACAAACTGGAAGCGAATACTAACGACTAGATGCTGAAATAACCAGGCCCGCATCACGCTGGTCGCGTGTTTGGGCAAAATGCCCCGCTTGGACTGTTTTCCATGCTCGTCGACGCTGCCGTCCAGTTCCGAATCGAGCTCATCCGAACTGCCACTAGGCGAGAGCTGACCGCTGGCGAAGGGATCTATCAGAGGCAGTGGGGCAGCAGCGCCGATTTGGCTTAGAGGAGTAGAGCCGAGAATTTGAGCTTGCGTGGGAAGATGGTGAGGATTTTGCGGGAAAGGTAGACCTGCTGGTGGGAAGTGTTCGGGCATGACTGGAATGCCGGGGTTGGAAAGATCTTGTGGGACCAGATCAGACGGAACCATCGTCGCAGGAACATGCTGCTGACTGAAGTGGCCTGCTACGTTTAGTCGAAACTGTCAGTAGGAAATCGGTTCAACCTAGTCTACTTGGATTCTTACCTTGCATATTGCTATATTCATTGGTATCGGTTGCGGACAGATAGTCGGTATTTTGGTAGAATCCTTGAGCGCTTCCGGAGAGATCCTGCGAATCAAAATAGAAACCAATGTTAGAAACGCCTCTATGCAACCCGTAACATTCATCTGACCTGCTCCGGACTGTTGATGGGACTGTTGGAGTTGGACAGGTTGTTGTTGTGCTCCAGTGCGTAGTCAGATCGGAGTAGATTCTCCGACTGCATCTTCCCACGGAGGCAGGCAATGTAGCGCGTGCAGAAATCCCGACACAGCTCCTGCACCTTCTCCAGCTCCAGTAGGTGTATCCTCAGCACCTGCAGTGCTTTGATCATAAGGCCGTCCAGTTCGGAGTTGTTGGTTAACAGGGGGCGTTTCTCCTTCTCTAGTAATTGTACGAAGGCCTGTAAAAAAAATCAATCGCAATCATTGAAAGACCTCGATTAAAAGTGAACCCAAAAGCTACCTGAACATCCCGGGCAAAGCTATCGCCTTCACTGGTGCCATTGCTGGATCCATTCGGGCTGGACGAATTCGAGGAGGGAATGTAGCCTTGCGTTGCCTGTTCGCATTTCTCCAGCAGCAGGGCCAACAGGGAAAACAGTGGATGTCTGTCGAACGAAACGAACCCAAAGGGAGATGGTTGTAAGAAAGTGAAGCAAAAAAGCAACACGAAATGCATTTTCGTATAACTAGACGATTTTCCAGGAAGCTTCAGCTTCAACCGGACCGGCCGCTGCCGGTTGTTGCTGCTGTCGTCTTGGTCGTAATAAAGATATTACAGTTATTTCGACATTGCTCGATTCCGTGTCTTTCGAAACCTCCCTCTTTTTCCACCCATATAAGCGGTGGCATTGTGGACGAACCAACGAATGGATGACGAAGACGACGACGACGACGACGACGATGATGATTGGGGACGACGATTGTCCCAAGGAGCTTTGTAAAACATCATGTCTATGTATATTTACTTATAGTCCAATATCCGTCGTAACTACCTACATCGAAATAACGTGTGCATTCGAAATCACATTTCATCGTTCGTATTTCTGGTGTCTGCTGGTGGGGCAGGGAAAAGCGAGGAAAAGGGGCTCTTTCCTAATCGGGTGGACTTTGTTCACTGAGCTAAAGGCAAACGTTCTACTTTTATAAAACTATTTCGTAGCGGATATGTCGATTTTCTAATGTTTGGAAGATGGTGCTGAGTTTGTATTTAGCAGACCACTTCTACTGTGTTATTAATTTTCATTCTCCATAAATATAATAGAGAAGTCCTTGATCAAATCAATTATAATATCACGACCAGTGTGATAAAAATGCTGAGAGTTCACAATGACTTAAAATTAGTGCTGTCATGGTAAATTAAGAACTGACCATCTAAAATAGATCCGCCCCTTTAAAGAGCGTATTTAATTGAAATTTAACAATTGATTTATTGATTTTCATTATTTAGGAGCCTGTAGTGATTCATTTCCGGATACACAATTTAATTCCCTCTAACTAAAACTAGGATACAGGTAAAACTTGTCTGCAATCAGCTCACCATAAACTTTAAAAATACTCAGGTGTCAACTCAATGAAGAAAACCAAATTCCCCGATATTCAATGATTTACCAGTAATTAAAAACAAATTCCAGGTGCAGTGCCTACCCGTTTTTGGCAACCCCATCAGCTATTACTTTTCTCAGTACTATTCAGCTTTCTGAACATTTTTTCAAGAAATACCACATGGATCTCTAACCCATGAAGAGTGACCCGGTACAATTTCAAATTGAATAATGCTTTCGATGCATTGTATAGAATGTAAATAAGACATAAATCGCGTGTTGATTTATCTAAATACACACATTTCAAACGTGGTAAACGCCAGGTAATCAGTTCAAGCAGTAACCGGGATGCTAAGGAAACTTCAACCATATCGATATAAATCTACTTTCCTGGATCTTGAATTTGGTTCTGCGAACGTGTCCGTACAACATTTCCTTTAGAATCATTTCCTTCCACAGAGTTCTTTTCAGAGTTCTTCTAAATTTTAAATTCTCTCTGGAAGTCCCTTGAACATTTCTCTAGAGCACTATCAAACTCTACTGTCTTCTGTAACTCTACTGTCTCTCGAGCTGTGTCTCAAGGTCGGCTTACTACTGGGTAATCTGGAGGGGCTTCGCGATCAAAATATGCAGTACTGTCACCTGACTAAAGGCTATGGAAAGTGTAATTGGAATAGTAATCAAAGGGTGTGTACAAATTATTTATTAAGAAAAGCTATATTAGGTGTGGATTGGATTTCTAAAAGAACTACTATTGAATGTTATGTACTCAACACCACTTGGCACTGATGAAGTCTGCAAGTAGTAGACGAAATACGCGTATCTGTCAAAAGATAAGCAATTATAACGGAATTTAAAGGAAATAAACCAACCCGCTCAAAGGTCTTCATAAAGGAATTCCGTTTAGAGGTTCGACAAATTTTAAGGAAGCTTTTAAGGCTCCCCAATTGTTGTTATGAAATAAATATAATCAAATTTATTGTTTCACCAATAAAATAATAGTAAGGCTCAATGTCATATTATTGGTCGCACCCAACAAAAAGTGGCCTTGACGCAATTTAATTGAATAACATCTTCGCGGGATTTTAATTAACCGTAGTTTAGCAAAATAAAATAAATGCAACATGCCCCCCCCCCCCCTAAGCCCCCGCCAGATAAATTTTCTAGCTACGCCAATGTTTAACGTACCGGTACTGAACTGCTGCCGTTGTGGCTGCTTTGCCGAAGGACTACTCTGCCGATGTGCAAACGCTAGCCGATGATACTACGTACGACGGGCTTGACGTCAGGCGAATCAAGCCTGACAGGGTGGTGATGTTTGATTTTACTTGCTAGTGGATCGGTCAACAGATCGACTTGACTTAATGGCGATCTGCGGTCTCCTGGCGTCTACCTTCGTTGACAAGAATCGACAGATTCCAGGTAAGGCCGAAGTGACTCTGGTCAGAGGGGTCCTCATTTGCTTTTAGAGCCGTATTGGCCCGAGGAATGCGGCCATTTTGGCCTTGCAAGGCCAGAGCGAAATGGTGTGCTTTGCTTTTAGGATCAGCAGCCATTAAGGACCACTAATCCGACTAATGTGCTTCCTAACCGACTTAGTCGGTTGGTTCACAAAATGGCGCTGCACCGAATGGTACCACAAAATAGGTCCTGTGAGGACAACGGGGTTTATTTTTGTTAATTAAGCTTTTGGTAATTAATTAGCCAAGCAGTGTTACCTGATTGAACAGATGTGTACACATTACTTTAAGAACACTTAGTTTTTACGATCCGAAGCACACGAACACCAGATACTGATTGAGGAATGGCGGTTTTCCTTCGCGCTTTTCCCATCCCATTCCTCTTCTCGTGAGACGTTTTTACCACCCATTTTGAAATCATAATTTAGCCCGACTGTTGTTGTACGGTTTTAGACCATTTTAAAATTAACAATTTTATACAACGACTACTAACCCTACTAATCTAACACTAAATAACCTCAAGATGGGGGATGTCCTCCCGAGCAAAGGGTTATACCAAATTGATAACAAGTTCAGATACCCGGTTATCAATTTGCAATTTTATTCAACAAATTTCAAATAATTTTATCGATTAGGTATTAAAGGCTTACACTGATAACTGTAATGTGGATGGCAGTGTTTTTTTTTCTTTTCATGCGGATAATATTTGAAGCTTTGATCAAATCTTGCATCATTTAATACTCTATCATGATAACAACTGATAACAAAATTAGTCAAGGTTGATAACTAAATTAGTTATGCGATAACAACTGAAAAAAAAATGAAATCTGAATAACAAGACTTGTTTTCAAGATGTTATCAGGTTGTTATTTTACTTTGCTCGCGCTCTCGCCCCAAAAGGCCTGGGTTCAATCCCAGTCGGCGCCGCCAGGATTTTCTGAGGCATAAAATCTCTGATCACTTCTTCCTTCGGAAGGGAAGTAAAGCCGTTGGTCCCCTGTTCATGAGTTGATGGGTCGATATGTATGGCCAAGGTGTGGGAGCTGTCTCCCTGGCGTCGGTAGCATTGGTACTGAGTACGGAAAACAAGATCGACGGAAAAGAAATCGAAGAAAAAAAATTGATCAGTTAAGTAGCGATACAAGTAACAGTAGCCTAATGTTTCTCATCTTGGACCCTATACTCCTCTTCTTTTCATATTTAACAAACTACAGTCTCTTCGGATTGTTATCAAATGCGATGTTTTCCTAATCTATACTTCCTTCTTCTACTTTTCAGACAAACACATCTATAAACAGTGAAGACACAAACTGTGTTGCTGAAAACGACTTTCAACGACGACAACGGGGACGCGTGGCTAGGCGAGTAAGAGGGGTGCCACAGTCGGAAGAAGTGTTAGTTTGTTTACTAAAATGAACCACCCATTTTGTTATGGCAAGTTTTGCTATAAGAAATGCTCCTCGTGTTTATTAGCGATCACATCAAAGATTGATTAATTGCGTAGGAAATCAGTTTGGCACGGTATTTGTGACCAGCATACACCTTCCGGTCGTATGAAACAGGTCAAAAGCTGTCTAAATCCGCAGATAAACATTTTTGTTTTGAATTTCTGTACAGCAAAATAGTGAACTTTTCGTGAAAATTAACGGCAAAGAACTCACCAACACTGGGAGACCGTGAGTTCCTGCCCATCTGTCTTAAAAACATCTCGGACGCGTGGTACAGCTTATAGAATAACACTCATGAAAACGAGTTGGACGATGCACTACGGGACCAAGATGGAAATATGACAGGTGGGCAGGAACTCACGGTCTCCCAGTGTTGGTGAGTTCTTTGCCGTTAATGTTCACGAAAAGTTCACTATTTTGCCATACAGAAATTCAAAACAAAACAATGTATGGGCGGATTGGGACAGTTTTTGACCTGCTTCATACGACCGGAAGGTGTATGCTGGTCACAAATGCCGTGCCAAACTGATTTCCTACGCAATTAATCAACCTTTGATGTGAATTTCGCTAATAAACACGAGGAGCATTTTTATAGAAAAACTTGCCATAACAAAATGGGCATAGTTCATTTTAGTAAACAAACTAACACTTCTTTCTACTGTGTCACCTTTCTATTTTCCGCCTAGCTACGGGACGACGACGACGACGATGAATGCTCTGTTTTGGTCGAATGATCACATCAACCGATGGACGAATACCAACGAACAGAATACAACGATCATTTGTATTGACTGCAGTCTAACCTGTCTTGGACCTGGCTCTCTCGTGGTAAGTTGAGACAAGTCCCGAAAGCCTGCACTCAAAAAATTCCACAGGTCATCATCATGTGTCTCACACTTAATTGTGCACTTCTTGTGAAATACATCCATTTCATGTGTAAATCTTATGCTGTGAACCATGCCTCAACACTATTGATTAGGATTGTGACACACTTGTAGTCTAATTGCCTCACATGGCGATATCAATAGCATTGTACATCATAGTTCAATGTTCTACAATATTCTACTTTATCCACTTCCACTTTACCGACTCCAAAATTGAATCGATAAATACCTATATAAATAAAGCTGCCAGAAAGCAGAGCTTACACATGCCT